TAAATGAAGAAGCATAATTTGTGATTAGAATTAACTAGTTTTAGTAGTAGTACTTTATGCCTGTGTACCCGCCAGCCNTTTATGCCTGTGTACCCGTCAGCCCTAAGGGACTATGCCAATTACCTTTCGGTAACGTTTAGGCAGTTGAGGTACAGAGCAGTACTAAACTTATAAAAAGAGTATTTTTGAAGTGCGCTATATCCGTCGACAAGCCAGTTCTAGAGCTAGTAGTCCGGGTGGAGTTCATCATAAAATATATAGTCCGTAAGATAGGCAACTACATCTTGGAAATATTCTCTGCGTGTGTACCCACCAGCCCTAAGGGACTATGCGAATTACCTTTCGGTAACTTGTAGGCAGTTGACGTAAAGGATAGTAAAAGATGTATTGAAATAATATTTAAAATATATTAACGAGGTAACTGTGTCCGCGCCAGCCAAGGCTTTACGCTGAGAAACGATGGGCCACCACAGTCTTGTTAATTATATTTTGAATATAGATAGACATATTCTTATAATTATATTTTGACTAGTTCAGAGTAAATTTTAAGAATATCGATATCGACTGTAGGGAATTCATCGAAAATATTATTAGTAAAAACATAGTATAATATAAAAGGAATTTAAAATAAAAGAAAGTGACAAAATTATAATAGGCGCAGGTCCCATTGTAGAGAATCCCCTTTTTTAAGTTTTATATACACAGAGATACTAATTTATCGAAATAAACGCAAGACAGTATAAACGACTGTTAACACTGAAAGAAAAAATCACCATAAAACCAACTCAATCAATTACTAAAGGAAATAAAGGTAAGTGCGAATATTTATTTGCATGTCTTACTTCTAAAAAAAATCACGTAATAAACAAAAATAGGAATAAATGAGTTAGGGATATTTTATTATTTAATAAATAAATAAAGTTCGACCCCGAGATACGACTCCATTCTTACCATCTTCAACTCACTCATTCTCTTTGCCTCTTTCTATTCATTCTTTCTTCCATTCTTTTTTTTCTCTTCTTTTTTTTGTTTATTACAATAATTTGTCAGACTTTCCTTCCGAAATTTTTCAAACACATCGGCCAGTATCTACTTCAAAAAACAAAAGTTATTACATACGATTCGGAAATAAATTATATATAAAAAAAAAACATACCATTACTTGTAATGTAAATACTTGTCGCTGTAATCACCGAGAGTGTTGCAACTGAAGTGTTGCCACATTTTTTTACCGTGTTCGTAGTCTTCCTCGGACACCGTCTGATGCGTGATCGAGCTGTAAAATTGGTCACGGGGCGGCAATCGTGTTTCTTCGAGCCTCTCCCAACAGTCGACGTACTCGTACGGAAAAACAGATTTTCGGGTGACCAACTCCAGCGATTCAAACACTTTGTGTGTATGCACGAAATCCGGTGTCGACAATGTGGCGGTCAGCTTCGATAAACTCGCTTGTAGAAACCTGTAAGAATCTATGAACCGGATACGAAAATAATCATCAATGGTCTTGCTGAACATGATGTACTTTTCTTCGGACTGTGCAATGATATATATGTCTTTATCGTCGTACGCCAACTCTGGTATAATCATGTGCGAGTCGTAGTTGGACAGACCGTGTATGATGACCGGCATAAAGGCCGGTGGACGTCGTTGCAGGTTGCATTTGTTACACAAAACGGAACGAAACCGAGCCGTCCAGTGGTTGTGATCCTTGACTTTTTTTACTTTATCCGTGAACCTAATTGAACACAACTCGCAATTATTCGTTGTATCGAAACGTAGTTGTTCCTCCGGTGTCAGTGGCGTCATATCGANTCTCCGGTGTCAGTGCCGTCACATCGATGTTCACGTTCATTATGTCCGATATGCGTTTACCAATGGTTACCAACGTCGTGATAAAGTGTTTGGCCGCATCCGGTCCCCGGTACAGTACCGGTTCGTTTGGTAGTCCATCGCAAATATTTTTCGGCAACACCTTGGAATCGCGTACCACATAGAAACAGTAGCTCATGGCCTGATGATCTTGTGTAACCGTACAGTACTTGGACACTTGTTGCTCGGCGCGAACCAACAAACTCTCCATGTCTGCGTACACAACCACTGGAACCGGCTCCTCTCGCCTTGTGTTTTTGAACCGCAGTACCGACTGGTCGGAGTCGGGTGCGGGAAGGACGGCTCGCGCTTCCTTGAACTTTCCACACATTTTAATGTGCTCATCCACCCCCGCTTGTCCGCTCGGTTGAGTCTTTAACGGTTGATTGGTAAATGCGTTTAAACAACGTTTACAATAGTACTCGTGTCGTTTGCCCTCGGTTCGTTGTTTTGACACGAGTCTCGAGAAATTTGATATATAACAATAGTGACTGTTTCCCGGCTCGGTAACGTAAAGTAAATCAACATGATCGGTGCTCGTACGCGATTTAGTGATACGCAACGGATACACGTTATTTTTATCGTCCAACGCAAACACATTGATCGACATTGACGGGTTATTACGTTCAAATCGAATAATTTGTTTCAATGGTGTAGGAAAGTCAATGCCATCAAAACGTATACTTGTGGATTTTTCCAGATCAATGTAACCTGCATTCCATTGGTCCCTATGTTTTTTATTCTTGTTGTACTTACATAAAATCGCCCATTTAAAACACTGCTGGTTGGCATTTCTTACGTTTATGACAGCAAATTTTCGTTTGATACACAGTGGAAGTACAATGTACGAGCCATCGCTAAATGGTAAAATTTTTGTGACTCTCAACAGCAGTCCGTCTATGATTAATAGCGACCACCCGATACTTCGGGTCTCCATTTCCTGTTGTTCGTATACGAGCTTCTTCGTGATTCCATCCAAAACGGCGGCATATACGGTACTTGAATCGACAGTTTTGTTACGCGTTTTAAACGATAGGTTTCTCATTTCCCCCATAACTTGGTGTATGTACGTTGTGTGCAGTACAACGTTGAATTTTATTATACCGAGCTTAGTAACGTCATTTAGTACGGTGGTTAAATCGTCACTCACGTATCGAATAAAATCGTCAATTTCGTCAATAGTCGTTTCATTTTTCAAAAAATAATGTATAACTCGACCGCGTAGTGCAGATTCTATCGGAACAAAGCCGGTCCCTGCAACGTGCATGCACGCGCGTTTGGTCACCCTACCCGCAGGCGCAGACAAACATCGTTTCCCTGAAATAACAGTTTGATGGTGACCCTGATTTATTCTACAATGAACATTCAAACCAGTACTATCGACAAATGAAAACCCACAACCGCATACAAACGACATGATAACAACTATTGAAAAATTAATACATTAGTTAAATGTGTGTATGGCCACCTCTATCATTAACTATTCAGTTCAATGTACTTTTACTATTGGAGTAAACACTACTGGACTGTTAAAGGATTATATTATCAATGGTGTGTAGAAATTTAACTTGAATACACAAGTTTTTTTTTCTTCTTATAATCTACTCTAAAGTATGACTATTGTTATTTTTGTTTTTACATTTTCCACCAATTTAAAAAACTATTAATTTTATAATATTAATCTAAAGTATAATTTACCTTTGTCATAAACTACTATTAGGTTCTATACTATCGGAGTAATAATGCAAACACAAATAGATTGTGAACGAACTATATAATTTTAATTCAATTGTTGTACATGAATCATTAGATATAAACAGATTTTGTTGATTGTAAAAAAAAAAAGTTAATGCATTAAAAAAAATTTTATTAAAAGTCAAATGAATAAGCATTTCCCGTTCTTCCTCTGTAACAAAGTGACATTTTGGTGACGTCGTCGTTGTACGTTTTAATTTCATCGTCCGTCAACTGTATTTTTGGGACAAAAACTTGTCGGTTGTCGGGCAACCGTGTCACCACCACAACACCGTTTCTCGTTGTCAAATTTTTCATTGAATCAACTCTATAGGCATGATTCTCTACCAAGTCAGACATTTTAATGTACTCCATAACTCGAAAACAGTGCTATGAATTTTTTTTTTTCGTCACCTCCATCCGATTGCCACGAGACCATTAATTTGACATTCATATCGGTACTCTCTCATAGCATACTACCCCTCTCCGCTCTCTACTTGTTTATGTTTCAGATAAATCACTGAGCTAGTATACAGCCGATGCACTCCTTCAGCTATGTGTACTCCTCCAACCATTTATAAACTGAGTTTTTTTTTTAATAATACAGTTGTTAACAAACTATTTGTCATCATATACTATAGAAATCATTGAGTGTGTATCGGAGCGTAGTACACACACACACACATGTTTACATAAGATAATATTCTTTAACCTATACAACATAAATACTAATCTATTAACCATTTCTTTTTACGATACATACCCGATACAAATGACCTGATTGTTACTACATCGTTACCATTAGATTATTTAATAAGGAAATCAATACATTTTATAAGTTAGTGAAAACAAGTACACACATACACACCATTAATACAACATATTTACATATTTATTTTAATTTTTCAATATAATACATTAAATATATTTACAAAACTATATATATAACAATTAATCTACACTGTCCATGTAAATATTTGTTCATCACAAAATTTACACGAACAGTGAGGTGGAAAATGTAATATCAAAAAGTAAATAGAATAGGGGTTGATAACAAACTCCTCAACCACCTTCTGTACAATTACAAGTTCTTGAATATTCGATAATTCTACAAAACATGTACCCGAACGACAAATAGATGCTGTGGAGCCGTCGGGATAGCGTACATTATAAAAATTAAATTTTAAATAATTTCCCCGAACAGCATCATTAAATTACCCACTCGAATTTCTCTCTTATATAAATCTCGAATCTTATATAAAACTCGAATTTCTCTCTAATATAAATCGGCACAGCTCCGAATGGTTCGTAATGCTTCCGGATCGCGTATAATAAACCCATCATTCATTACTCCTCGGTCAAAAGCTGTGCGATTTCGAAAAATTTTCAAATTTTCAGCTATTTCTAAAAAAACATAACACTCTAGTACTTTCCATGTATTCAACCAGATGTTCTACATTTTTGACACTTTTTGGTAATTTCATTTTGAATGACTAAAATTATTGTAAACTTATAAGTACATTTTGAACTGAATAGTGATAGATAATAACTTACTTTGATTAAATACACGAAAACAGATACACTTGAAAAAGATACTGGAACGGTTTTATTGAATATATTTAACCTAAAAATTTGTGTTTGTATTACTTAAATATAATAACTTTAGTTTTAATCATGCATTAGTTGTGCAGACTACAATTGTGTCACAAAAAATTTTTAAAACTGGTTTGAATAAAATAAATTATTTTAGATTCTAATAAAAAAAAAATGTATTGAATAAATCAATTTTTTGACAAATTTTCATCATTTTATCGATTTTTAAAATAAATAAATACATGAAAGGGTTAAAAAAAATAAAGTACTACTAGAAAGACGAATGAAAATTTTATTTGCACAACAAATGTAATCATTAACGTAATTTTACCATTCAATGCAACAAGTACCATATATATAAATATATTTTTCTTTTTAATAATTAAAAAGAAAAATATATTTATAATTATTATAGTAAACAAATTTAATTAATGAAAAAACTTTTTGAAATTTATCAGTAATATAGATTATTAAAAATAAATAGATGCATTGAACGTGAAAGATATTATAACAATTTAATAACTGTTGAAAATGCACAGGAATAGCCGTGAAACACAGTTGTAGATATAGATGAAAAGAACCATAAAATCACCAAAAAGTGAATGAACAGATAAAGGGTTATTTCTGCAGTTATATAGTAAAATTTATATTTTTAGGCACAATAAAGTTAATTGTTTGGGATAAAAGTCCCTAGGAATTCAATATCTTACTAGTGGAGATCAATAAATTGCTTACATGGATATTATTGTTTATTTTACACAATGTTGTAGATAGCAAAGTAAAACGTATTTTAACGATAAAAAACTTATAGAATATTTACTGGATGTAAGGGTTGAGTGTAAAAGAAAAAACACGCGAGTTTAGCAATATTTTTGTTAATTTTCATTTTAGTTAGAAAATAAATACATATATACACATAATTCGAACACAATAAAGCTGATAAAGTCACACGTGTCTGATTTTTTTTTTTGTAGATTTGAACGCTTGTAAATACAAAAACCCTTTTAGATTATACAAATTATAAATTTAGTAGTATAATATGTTTTTTACTAAATCGAAAATTGGTATTTTTATTTATTACACACTGTATCTTTTATACAGTTTCATATAACACACAAGATACAATATTAAAAATCTTTATTTATTTTTCAAACTACAATACTATATAAGAGTAACAAACTACGAAAGTAGTCTTATTTCGTTATTTTATTATTTTGGATAAATAACTGTCCCTTACATATCAATACATGAGTACAGTTAGGAGACCAACGTACATGTTCTACCCATGGGTCGTCTTCCTCATCCCAATCTTTCAAACCTTGACTGCAGCAATAACATAACATTTGATCATTTTGTCCATTACCTAAAAATTATACAGGGTGTTCAATAAGTCAGGAAACGGGTTTCTATTGTTCTCATTGTTACAATCAATGAGAACAATAGAAACCCGTTTCCTGACTTACTGAACACTCTGTATACACTTATAAATAATGTATTTGAATAAATGTACCAATCATAATAATGCATTCAATACTGTATAGTCCCATACCTATGTATAAAAAAAAACCCAGCACAGAGGGGTCGCGGCACAGTGGTGACGTGGCATAGTGGATCAAGTATAATGATATCTGACAGTGATTAAAATCACTATCAAAATAAACGCTTCGATGCAAATCTTTAGATAGTGTTTAATTTAAAAAAAATTGGTGTTTTATTCCAAAAGCTACTTGATCTGCTAGTTTCTTATTAATACCCTGATTAAGATAAAGTATGTCGAATGAAAAAGGGTTTATTAAAAAATATTATTTCTCATAAAAAAATTGTGTGGATCCATAAACTTTTCAATAAGTTATAGCATTATAAAGTTAAATATAATAT